GGTCTTTGATGCTTCCCACTAGTGCAGCACAGATTCAGAAGGCCAAGTAGACTTTTTTTTTTTTTGCTGCTCCTATAACTGATTAGGGTTTCAGGGTAGACTATCTTTTTTGTTTCTCTTTGTTCACTTTTTGATTTTTTTTTTAAATTTTTTAGGGAAGGGTCTACAGGGTGTTCAGGGTCTCACTACAAGATCGGACTCGTAGTCTCCTAAGAGCTGGGATTACAGGCCACCACCACACCCAGTCTCAATTCTGTCTCGGAGCACCCCGGGGCAGGGCCAGCAAGGCAGACCGAGGGATCGAACCCTTGGCCCCTGCATCTGCTTGCAGGCCCTTTACTCTGCTAAGCTATCTGGCCGGTCTCTCTTTGTTCTTTTGGTGGTCCTGGGAAAGGAACTTAGGGCCTTGCACATCTAGGTAGGCACTTTTCCCCTGAGGTATTGCCCCCACCCCTCCATCTTGTCTTTTAGCCCTACTATTTTCTAGCTCAGGAATCTAGTGTGATGCAACTGTTCTTCTAGGATTTTGGTCATTATACATACTCAGATCCATTTTTCTAGACCTTAATAGTCAAAGTCTACTACGGGAGCTGACATGAAGAGAAAAAGTAGGGAGGTGAACAGGCTGTGTGTTCAGTTGTGGCAGCCATGTTCCAGTTGAATACATACCATGTATGATTTAATTTTTTTTTTCCATGTATCACTTAAAATATATGTACCCAAGAGCTGAGAAAGCTTAACTGGCACATTATACTTATGTTATTTGACTTATTACTTTCTTTCACTAGTGCAAATGCTTTTAAGATCAAGACTTAAGGGCCGGGGAGATGGCTCAGTAGAATAAGCGCTTGCCTGGCAAGCGCGAGGGCCTGAGTTCAATCCCTGGTTCCGAAAAAAAAAAAAAACAAGATCAAGACTTAAGAAAAAAACTTGCCTAAATAGCTCCTAGCTTACTAGTCATGGTACTCTCTATGGAAGAAACTTACCGCTTTTCCCTCTGGGGAATCAAACGTCAGAAATCTGAGTTCAGAATCTGTCTCCAAGGGCCTCTCGAGGTCATAAGGTTCTCCATTCACTTCAGCAGCCAGGGCAGTATCTGCCAGTGTTAAACTTCAGCGGGGGTGGGGGTGGGGGGGTGAGGATGAAGAAAATGACAGGGTTATAATCCATGGGAGAAGAGAGAAGCTAATCCCTTGGTAACCCTAAATTTGTAAAGCTTACAGAACAGTTATTTCTTTATTCAATGGATAATACAAGAAAGACAGACTCTAAAACCATTGGAGATAAATTCTCAGGGAATGCTATCCTGCTGGGTATGAAATAAAATAAGCAGACCAAATTCTTTCCAGGACAAAAGTGCAGAGAAGTGAGGGCCGAGATGGATACCTCATCTGCCGGGCTAGCTGGTAAGGGGTTGTATTCCATGCCACAGCATCCACTTTCTGGTCTCCAGGAAGAGACACCTTAATAGTTCGGGCTTCCTTCTGTGCAGTGCTTGCTAGCCTCGTTGCCTGAGCAGACCACAGCTCCTCAAAAAGCCCAAGCCGCTCTACCAACCAAAGTGGTGGAGTTGGTAAGGACGCCTGAGGGGAAAGATGTTAGGCATTAACATAGATCTCCTTTCTTTTCGGGGCTTTAGCTGGTAGCTGTGGGTATTCATGAGGTCTTGGCCCTAATTTCTGGTTCTTAATGGGGGACAGGTGATACAAGTTTTAGACTAGGGGTCCTACTAGACACTCCTCTGCCTAAGGAGCTCCCTCCCCTCCAGCCTCCCACCTCTGTTTGACTCTAGAAGCACATGGCCAACTGGGGACTGAATGCAGGGGAGGGGAATGATGGCGAGTGGGTGGATTAGGAGTGCATGCCTTGGGCTGGGTCCTATGGCTTGGAACTTTTTTGGTACCTCATGCAAAGTATGTATCTTGTAGGCTTGCAACCACCGGAACCCCAGCAGGAGACGAAGCGGTCGCCACCTCTGAAATAGCTGCATGTTGCTACAAACCGGCGTGTACACGCTCAGATTACCGCTCTTCACTAGGCTCCTCATTGGTTTCTACCCCAGCAACATCCCTGCCTATTGGTTATCACACCTGCCACTCTGGTCTGGCACCACCTCCAGGAACTCGGAAGAGGCACACCCCACCACAGCTGAAGCAGCGGCTAGAAAGGTTCCGGTGACCGGAAGATGTAAACTGTTACACACATCTGAGATCAGGAAACCCGCAGCATTTCAGTTGAAAGACCAGAGTAAGCACAAGGTGTCCAACAGCCATGAAATCGGAGGCACAAATCTCGAGGATAAAAGCGGGAGAAAAAGGACTGGCGATATAACCAGCGGCGCAGTGTCTACCTGGCAAGCGCAAGATCCTGAGTTGGATTCTCGGTGGGAAAAAAAAGAAAAGAAAAAGTGGGAGAAGCCCGGTGTGGTGGGACACGCCTGTAATCTTAGCGCTTGGGAGGCAGAGGCAGGAGGATGGAGGATCGTTGCAAGTTCGAGACCAGTTTGCGCTACAAAGTGAGCGCAAGGGAGTCTTAACTGTATAGGGAGACCCTGACTCAGAAAGACATAAAAAAAGAAAGAAAGAAAGAAAGAAAGAAAGAAAGAAAGAAAGAAAGAAAACGAAAAGAAAGAAAAACTGGGAGAGAAACACACTAGTAATTATTTCCTTACCCCCCTCCCCCCCGGAACCGGGGATTGAACTCAGGCCCTTGCGCTTGCCAGGCAAGTGCTTGTTCCACTGAGCCATCTCCCCGGCCCAGTTATTTCCCTTAACCATAAAACTTTCTTATCCCTTATCTTTAAAGCGCATAGTTCAATTCCAGTACCCCCAAACAAATAAAGCAGGTAGGAAACTATTAACATAAACTTTGAAACCAGGCAGGTCTAGTGTAATCTCAATCTCTTTTCTTTTTTTTCTTTTTCTTTTCTTTTT